CAGAGAGACCTGACTGCAAGCAGGAACTATGAGCTACTCATTAACTATACGGCATGGGAGCTTCTCCCTCGCTCTCAAACCTGTAACAAGAGACTCCCACTTTGTCCCCTGGGCCTGAACTCTCTTTAGCATACCCACTACACTGCCTGAATGTTCATGGTATTAATAACTCTTCTAAAAATTTCTTGCCTCCAAAGGATAATCTGACTCAGTATCCCTCTCTCAAACCCAAAACCTCTTCCTTCATCTTCAAAATGTACTACCCCACTCTCTGCTCCCCTCAACCAGCCTTCTCTCCATAGTCAGAACTCCCTCTTAGGAGGATATGAGTGATTATATTTATGTCCTACTTGAATAATCCATCTCAACCCTCTTAATCATGACTGCAAAGTCCCTGTGTATATATGGAAGATTCACAGGTCCCTGGGATTAGCACACAGAAGTCACTGGGGCCAGGATTTATCCTCCCATGGAGCTTAAGTATGTTCAGATTCCAAACCCTTAAATATTCATTTAATAAGTGAGGTCAGGGCATGCTTTGTTTTGTTTTGTTTTGTTTTGTTTTGTTTTGTTTGAGACGGAGTCTCCTTGTGGCCCCAGCTAGCCTAGAACTTGCTATGTAGACCAGGGTGTCCTCAATGGCAGAGATCCACCTGCCTCTGCCTCCTGATTGCTGGGATTAAAGGCGTGCATCACCATGCACAGCAGCAGCATACTTTATAGAATTCGCATCTAAGAACCCCTGGTGTAACACATTACTTCATTCAATTTACAGCAATTGTTCCATAGTATCTCTGAGATTTGGAATTTAAGGCTTACTCAATAGGAGAGAATTAATGCCTGGTACTGGAAACCTAGCCGAATACCAGTGTCCAGAGAGGTCATAGACCCTAGAGCAGAGCCTACTGATGTTTCCCTAAACCAATCTAATGTCTAACTCTAGTCTAAATACTTATTCTAAATTTTTTTTCAAAAACACAGGAAACCATTTTTTTTTTTTTTTTTTTTTTTTTTTTTTTTTTTTTACAACAGGTAGAGATGATTACAGAGATCCACAGCTGGTCAAAATACAGAGAATAAGTGACCATGGGGTGTCCAGCCCCAATTGATAGATCTCAAATACAATCCTTACACCTAAGGCTTTGGGAACATCATAGAAGAGGAGGCAGAAAGAGTGTAAGAGCCAGAGGACCAGGATGCCTGCTGCGAGACATGACAGGGAAGCTGTACACATAAAATCACAACAATATGGCTGCCTAAACGAGACATAATGACAACACTAGTTGCCATGTCGCTGTGGATGGGGAAACACTACAAGGTCTCTAGATGAAGAGGTTATCTAGAATTCTTAGTGCTGTTGGCATCCTGGTGTTTAGGTGCTTCAGGGCTGACTATACTGCTTTATACCAATGTGGTGATTATCTCATTGAACTCTACCTCTTCCCTATCATGAGATGTTGACATGAGCTGGGGGTATGGGAACAGGATCAGATTGTTCTGTCTGCTCAAGGTCACAGAGCTAGCATGTAGATGTAGAACCCAAACCCAGCTTTTGTTCTGAAGTTCTGTTGATCTCATTGAACTACCTGAAGCAGAACAGGGCAGGGAAGAAAAGTGTGCTAGAGTTCTCTTTCCACAACACACAAGCCCATTCCTAGCCCCTGGATCCTCCACCATCTGAACAATCCAAAGAGTATTTGAATTTCAGAGGCCCGTCATGGTGCTCCTGACACCTGTAATACATTTACAGCCCATCACTACCCAATAAGGAAGGTCGCAAACCCAGCCTGGATGGGGAGCAGCCTCTTGGGGTTTTCACTTCACTCTTTGCCCACACAGTTCCTCTCTGAATAGGCTGCCTCCTCCACATACCGTAGGATGTGTGCTTTCAAAGTTGAGAACCCGACTTGAATCAACTGCTCATTATATTTGTTCTGGGCTGCCATGGCAACAAGTGTTCATCCCAGCAGCTGCTCCAGGAAACTTTGGCTTTTCACCCTCCAAGTTCTGCTTTGGCATTCGTGGCAAGTACATTAAAATAAAATTGTGTTTCAGGGCAGCCTAGTAGCCCAGGTGACTTTGATCCCTAGACACATGGACCATTCCAGAAGAAGTTCTACTTTGATTAAGGGGCTATCACACCCTGGGTGAGCTATTGTAGGGTTCAAGTAACTCATGGCTAAACACAAACATCTTGTGATGTATTCTTCCAGTGTGTGGGTCATGATTCATCACAGGGTGGATTGGTTTCCTATAGCTGCTGCAACAACTGAACACAAACAGCGCCATAAAACACAGAGTATTTTACAAGCCTGGAGGTCAGAAGTCCAAAATGGGGCAGGAGAGTCGTGTGTAGAATAATTCTTTATACCTTTATAAATCCAGGTCTAACAATAGCTTGGATGTCTTGAGCTTTCAACCTCTATTACTGTAGGCATACCAGACCTTCCACATAATTTAAGTGCAACCATTTCCTCTTGTCAGAATTGAGTTTCACCCTATATAAATCTAACAAAATGATTTGAAGAGAGGGTGAATTTGGTTTTGAAATGTCCTCCACAGGTTCATGTGCAGAACACTTGGTCCCTGGCTGCTGGCACTGTTTTTTGAGGTCGTAAAACATTAGAAGTAGGGCCTTACTAGATGAAGTAGGACTCCAGGGGGCATTCCTGTAAAGATTACACTTGCTCCTGAGTCCCTTCCTCACTCTTTGTTTTCTATCCCTAATGAGACAAGATCCTTCTCTGCCACATGCTCCTGCTGTCTTGAAAGTCTACCCAAGCACGTGGAACCAAGTGACCATAGATTGAAACTCCTGAAACTGTGAGCCAAAATAAATCTTTTCTCCTTTAAACTCTTAGGTCTTCTGTCTTAGCTATGCAAAGTCTAATGCAGGGCATATTGAAGATAACAGATGCACATATTCTATTTTACCTCCAGGTTACATCTGGGAAAACCTCAATACCCTAACAATTGATAGTCAAGGAGTTAAAAAGATTTCTATTTTAACCTCCACTTCTAGAGATTTAAAATCTTTATGTTCTTCTTGAAGAACAAATTTTTCTAGCTGAAGGATGTAAGTGAATCTTTTTCTGTATTGGATATGTTAAAGATAGTCTGAGCTCTGGTGTTAAAGACTAGTCCTATAGAGATGACTTTTCCCATGCAGCCTGGAGGAAGTTAGGTTACCCTTAGGGATTGAGCCATACAGGGTTGAGAGCTAGTGAGACCTGAGCATAGGTAATGTTGAAATAGTTCAGGCTCCAATTCAATGACAGTCTTGATGCCTGGAATATTGCAATTGCACCAAAGATGAATTGTATAGTATTCCTTTCCGTCTCCTAAAGAGACTCTGATCTTTAAATTAGGGCTATAGAGATGTTACTAAACCACTTTAAGTTCTCAGAGAAATTGTCTTATTTGAGAGATTTGAGTTGGGAAATACTTTATTTTTATGTGTATGAATGTATTGCCTGAATGTATGTATGGCTGTGTAGTGCCTGCCAAGGTCAGAAGAGGGTGTCAGATCCCCTGGAACTGGAGTTACAGATAGTTGTTAGCCACCAAGTAGATGCTGGGAATCAAACCCAAGTCTTCTGCAAGAGCAGCCAGTGCTCTTAACTGCTGAGCTATCTCTTTATCCCCAAGTTGGGAAATACTTTATTAGGAAACTTTCTTCCATTAAAATTTCATTAAAGAGAAAGAATTTTTGCCAATGATTAAGGATGGTGTTGTATTTTGGTTGACTGGCCCCTAAAGATTTTGTTAAAGATTTGGTCCCTAGCCACTCGAGGTGCATGCCTTTAATCCCAGCACTTGAAGCAGGTGGATCTCTGAGATTGAGGCCAGCCTAGTCCACATAGTTCTAGGCCATCTGGGACTACAGGAAGACCATCTCAAAGAAACAAATATATATTTAGTTCCCAGAGTGATCCCCTGAGTGGTGGCTTTGAGAGATGCTGTGGACATTTAGAGGTCCTTAAACTATTGGGGATATGCCCTTCAAGGTGATCGTAAGGTATCTTGTCCTGTTTCCTGACTCCAGATATGATTGCTTGCTGATATACACTCCCACCTTCACCACAGACCCTGCCCAGTGGGCCTATCAGCCTTTGACCTCTAGAATGGTGAGACAGAAAAAATCAAAACCCAAACCACTTGACTTTGTAAGTACCCTGTGTCTAGCATTTCATTGAGACAAAATTAGACACTGACTTCATAGCCCCCAAATTCTGTGTATTTAAGTAAAAGAGGTATAGCACAGAAGACTCATATTTAAGCATACTCCCTTCGGTGGGGCTGTAATAGCCTCACTATTGAATGTAAATACCATGGTTCAGATAGTGTTGGGGTGCGGGGAGGTCAGAAAAACCTAACCTAGAAACAAGTTGTAAAACTGCCTATTCTTGTCCAAGTAAATGAACTCCTGTCCAGAGGACTGTAGCTATGTAATGATGGAAGGAAATAATTCTTTAATGTGTTTTCATCTTCAGATAGAAGGCAAGAGGGCTGGGAGAGAGCACAGCTGGTGAAGCACATGCCTTGCAAGCACAAGGACCTGAGTTTGATCTCCGGAACTCACTGGTTTAAAAAATCCCAGTCCTAGCTGGGCATAGTGACATATGCCTTTAATCTCAGCACTTGGGAGGTAGAGGTAGGCAGATCTGAGATCGGGGCCAGCCTGGTCTACATAGGGAGTTCCAGATCAGCTGGGGCTACAGGGAGACCGTGTCTCTAAACAAAGCCAGTCCTAGGAGCACATACTTGTAATGCCAAGGAGGCAGTGACAGGCAGATCCCTGTGGCTCCCTACCCATTTAGCTAGTCTAGCCTACTTGGCAAGTTCCAGACCAGTGAGACTCGATGCGGGAGGGCGTAGATGGTGCATAGGGACATTTGTAGTCCTCTGACTTCCATCTGCACGTACACATGTGTGCACACATGAACATACACACAAAAGCAGCACGAGTTCTACTGCAGTTTCTTTATTTTCAAATCCAATTAGTCATCCAACCTTGCAGTTCTTCTCTTATGCAGGTAACAAATGAAACCTACAATCACCACCACACCCACCAACACACCTACAGCAGCCACTGTTTTCAAAACAGCATCCTCAGCAATCTCATGCCCTTTGGGGTCTACAACATCTGCAAAGAGAGCAGGTATTCAAGTCTTAAGGTCGTATTGAAACCTTGCACAAAAGTTAAGCCTCAACTGTACTGGGAAGTTTGGAACAGGATATAGCCTCACCCCCTCACCCTGGGACCTCACTTCATCCTCGCCTGCTCCACACCCATTCTTCTCCCTGCCATTGCCACTTTTCTCCAGTCTCAAGCCAGCTGGCCTCACACCTGGACAGAGCCTTAGACTCTGCCTGTGTAACAGTGTCCTCGTGCAGATATGGTTAGCCATCCCCAAGGGTGTGATCTCACAGGTTGTTTGGCTGGAGATGTAAGCTAGCTTAATTTCACATTCTAGGCCTGAAGTTAAGACTATAGGATGAATACGGGAGGATAAGTTTAGTAGATATTCATGCTTGTCAACCTATCAGTTTAGAGATATACATGAAGTTTCTTGTATAGTAGGCAAAGATCTTAAAGATCTAAAATGGCATTAAGGATCTGTTATGCCCTCCAGCAGGAGGGTAGAATTGTGAATAGAATTAACCTAGAGATCCATGAATGAGTCATAAACAGACCCATGACTAAGAGCCATATGACTCCAAGATGGCTATAACAGAAGCTACAGTAATAAAGCAAGTCATAGCACAGTATGGAGAATACATGATTCCATTGATAAAAGATTTCTAGATGAACACACAAAGATTTAAAACTGCAAAGGGAGACTATTTTGCTTTTGTTTAGATTTTATCATAAGCATATTGTTATGCATACACATTAAACTTGCCATAGAAAGCTAAAGGTTTGTGACAAGAAGTGTTCCCGGCCTTAAATTAAACCCTTACCTTTGAGTGAAGAGTCATCTGACAACAGAAGAACAGGTCCTGGGAGGCTGACTGTCATTTTGTCTTCTTTGGTGGCCTCTGTTAAGATCAATCAAGGTTGTGACTGACCTCTGGAAATAGCATTCCAGGGGTGTTAATGGAAGTCTTAAGGAGATGCTTCATGGAGTATCTCTGTCCTGTGCTATGAATCCTATCTCTCTGTCATGGATAAATTCTCAAAGGGTGAAATGGATTATCAAAGAATGGGTTCATAGAGCTCAACAGGAGCCTGCCTATCTCAGGCTTACCACATAGGTAAAGGAAGATTGGGCTAAGGCATTTCTTGGGACTAAGTGAAGAACAAGTTGTAATTATTCTTAAAAATACTCAGTCCTGGAACATAGAGGCATTGGAGCAAGACTCACAGGGACCGGAATTTGCCGTTTTTACCTCGTTTAATCCTTGATGATGCAGGGCAAGTCACAGAACACAGAGGGGAGTCGGGAGTATCTTGGTTGCAGATTAAGGCACTGCAGTGGAAGTAGACCTAGAAGAGGAAGAGTGTCAGGAGGAAGCAATGCATTTACCTGTAACCTGCCATAGGTGACCTCTTGACCACCTACCAGGCTAGAGAGCCCCCGAGCTTCTGACACAAAGGCAAAGGTCTTCACGTCAAACCGCTGGTAGTGATTAGGATGAGTCCTGGAGGAGCCAGTTCGATGGAAGGTAGTGCGGTAGTTGTCCAGGTCATATTCACAGCTAGGAAATAGGTACCGGGGAGGGAGGCGGTGGGAGCATCAGTCACAGAAACCCTCACATGCACATTTCTACAAGTTGAGTCATATGTAGCATCTCTATGCCACAGCTATGACTACCTATTACCAGTGTCTTTTACCTAAACATCGTTCTGACCCAAGTTTGCCAACAATACCCATGCAATTATAAGATATATCACATATTCTACTATATACTGCAAGTATGTATTTAACAACCAAATTATTACGGGTTCAAATTGTGACTACACTGTAAATATATGTGTATTGCTTAAGATGCTGGGTTACTTATTTCCACTGAGTTTCTATTATGTCTTAGGCAGTGAATTTTGGTGGCAGAAGTAGAAAAATCCATGCTACTTATTTATATATTAGCAGGTAATGATGCTATTGAAAACAACGGAATGTTAGGTGGCAAGTACAAAGGTATGTAGACTGATTTAGGGATAAGGATAGTCAAGACTTGTACTATAGAGAAGAATACGTGGGAAAAAAAAATCAAAGGTGAAAGAACAAGTTCTTTGAACTGATTGTAGGTAGTCTTGAAACATGAGACTACTGGAGGTTAGGAGCTTAGTAATACAGTCCCACAGTTCCAAGCTAAAGTGTAATTCTTCACATTTAAGACACCCTGGATAATACACTATAGGCAGAGCTGAGAAGACAAATACTTAGGTTTAAATGTGCATGTAGTTACAATCCCATAGCATTGTCACATTTAGTTACCAGAGTCAAATGGGGTTCTAATCCCAGCTCTGCCACTTTAAAAAAAATTTTATTTTATGTGTACAAGTGCATTGCCTGCATGCATGCAAGTGCACTTGTGCTGCGCAATGCCTGTAGAGATCAGAAGAGGGCGTTGGATCCCCTGGAACTGGAGTTAAGGATGGTTGTTAACCACCATATGGGTACATGGGAATTGAACCTAGGTCCTCTGAAAGAACAGCAAATGTTCTTAACTGCTGAGCTATCTCTCCAGCCCTGCCACTTAGTATTTAGGTATGTACCCAAAGCAATGCTTAACAAGCTTAAAAAATTTGGGCTCCTTCATGAAGATGGCTAGTGTTCTTCAGGTAATACAGGTGGGATACTTAACAGCCTGGCATGTGGTAAATATCCAATAAATGGATAGACACTAGAATTCTTTCATGATAAAGATGAAGTAATAGAGCCAGGCATTTTGGAGGAGGATCCCATTCTTTAGGATTCCAGGTAATAAGAAAACAATAAGAGCCACTTGATTAGACCAAGGACTAATAACTGATGACTATTTTAAAAGGAATGATTACAGGTTTTCATGACCAAAGTCTCCTTCAAGTCACAAGATGGAACAAATTCTGTCACTGAAAAGTTCCAATGGGTTATCTGAGAAACCCTACGGCATTGGGAGTACATACCCATCCACGACAATATGCCACTGGGGGATAGAGGCTGGGTCTATAGACAGTGTTGCCCAGCAGTCATCCAAGACCAGCTTGATGCTAGGATCATTCCTGTTCAAGACTGTCACTTCCATGTAAATTGGCTGGCGGAGGTATCTCACTAGAGGGTATTCATCCTTCCCATAAGGTCGTTGATAGGATTTGTCTGCAATGAATGGAAACCTCTTTTAGGATTGAGGCACCTGATGGCTGCAACATGTTAGGCTGGCAGCACCAGCCTAACTTGATTATCTCAAGTTGCAACAGCTCACCTGGGTAGGTTTGTAGGGCCAGTATCAGTGGACCTGAATTCAAAGAGGCCACTGGAGGAGGAAGGTTTCTGATATGAGCATTGAGTAACATGCTGTCCCTCTTGTAGTGGCACCGCACTGTCATTCTGTAAGATTGTGGGTAGGGCAATAGAAAAAATTTTATGTTGAGATTTCTGTAATTTAAACTAAAGCTTTGAAAAAATACACCTAAGTAGGAACTGAATCACACCTGAACTCACTATCTCTGAATATGATGGTTGGTGGTAGATTTTTCCATAGAGCCTGTACTTCGTTTTCATAGATGACACTATCACCTTCAAACTTAAATGTTAGAGAAAGTTGGTTAAAGAAGTGGTTACTTAAAATTCTCAACTTCTTCCTGTTGGTTACTACTCACTTTCTGTCTTGTTCCACATCCATTGAGGGGTATGTGAAACTGCACGAACCCCAGAGACTGGGCCTTGAAGGTAGGCTGGCAGGATGAGTTTCCCACTGTGAGTGTGTCCAGGTTCAGAGCAGGTTTTGTTTGGTGGCTGTAGACCTTGAAATCCATAAATCCATCCTGTGTACACAGCTCACCTGTAACTGTACGGCAGTGAAGGTTTGGGGATATTAACCTTGTGTGATCTGTCAGTGTTGAAGTGTTAGGGAGGAGCAATCCAGGGAGAACAACTAGAACTTTGAGCTGATGGCACTAGAATTTGTTGTTGAGTCTTTGGGAAAACACTTAAAGTAGTTTGAGTTATAAGGGAAATATAAGCAACAGTTAACTTGCTTTGTATCATCCAAAGAATAGACTAGGAAAAATAAGAATCTTAAAGGCTAAGGAGGCCACTAAAAAAATAAATAAAAATAAAAAAAAAACTGAGAGGGGTTAAAGCATCCTAGGGATACAGCCCCTGTTGGTTTTATAGTGCCTGTTTTCACTATGTACTTCTCAAGTTTTAGAGTTTTTTGGGTTAAGGAAGTTCAACTGGTAAACTATGCAAGTGTTGAAAAACCCAACAGAACTCTGAGACACGAAACTGTGGGTTTCCAAGCATTTTGATAAGGGATAGTCAGGCTGGCCTCACGAATCCCAGGTGGTTTGAGGAGACACTGGGGAGGTAGTTGTTTGTCTTGATCTAATGTAGGTCAGAGAGCAAAAAGCAAGATTGAGATAGAGGGAAACACCTATGCAGTGTTCTTTTGAGGAGATTTGTAGGAGTCTCGGGAGTCTTTTAAACTTCTATGGTATCCTAATTAGAAGCCTGAGGACCTTGGGACTGGAGAGATGGCTCAGCAGTTAAGAGCTCTTGCTGCTCTTCCAGAGGATTCAGGTTCAGTTCCCAGCATCCACATGGTGGCCCACAACCACCTAGAACTCCAGGTCTAGGGGATCTGTTGCCCTTTTCTGGCCTCTGAGGGCACTGCGCATGAGTGGTGCACTTAAATACAGGCAGAACACTCATACATAAGATAAAATTTAAAAAGTTTCAGGTCTTTGTCCCTGGATGGACTTTGCTGTCTAACCCAATATACCCAAATGACAAAGTGACAGTTAAGAGTGATCTAATGCACCTGCACCAATGTTAGAAGAAATGTACTTGGGCCTCCACCACTTAGACTGATGCTTCTAACCTTACTCATCTTTAGTTTCTTTTAGCCACAAACATGAACCAAAAACTCAAGTTCTATGTATTTTCCCACATGCACAAGAGAAGACAAGAAAACAAAACAAAAAACCCAGATGATTTTAGTAATTAAAAGAAATCTTTACTTAGAAGCTGGAGAGATGGCCTAGTGGTTAAGAGCATTGTATGCTCTTGCAGAGGACTTAGGTTTGATTCCTAACACCCACATGGTGGCTAGCAATCATCCATAACTCCAGTTACAGGGGATCTGACACCCTCTTCTGACCTCTGCGGGCATTGTATGACATGGGTGCACTTACATGTAGGCAATACACTCTACACATAAATATTTTTTTAAAAAACTTTTACCTATAGAGACTGGCGACTCACAATGGCACTCCGGATCAATCATCATGGATACCAAATCCAGTTGAAAGTAAAAGGTCAACTTGAGTGAAGGTAAGTAGAAGTGATCAAGGGGGCACTTTCCGGAGGACTGAAATGAGAAGAATGCCACGTAACCATCTCAGGAAGAGGAAGTCCACCGAATTCCCAGGACACATCCCAGAGTTATCTGGTTTCCTTCAAGCCCAAACAAAAGACCCTATTGCTTCTTCAGATCAGGATGTTTCTCCAGGCAAGAATTTTTTTGCTCTAAACTTATGCCCCCAAATTCCCAGCACATTGTGTTCATTGTACCGTTAGGTACTAAAGCTTGAATTAATAGAGCAAATTGCAAAGAGTGGAGTCCCCTGCCAAGCCCAAGTAGGAGTCAAAAGGACTTTATAGATGTTACACAATGCTATTGCAAAACATTCTGACACTAAAATATCAGTTTTTTCTATCCCTGGCAGTTGCATCCATCGAGACTGTCCTCAATGAAAGCAGTGGAGGATGCTTTTGTTTGGACCAAGTTTTCCTGTTCTTTAATAGAACATAGCAAAGGTCCATCATTATATGTCTGACAGATAGTTTGTACTTGTCAAATGAGCAGAGAAAAACTTGAAAAGTATAAGCAGATGTTAAAGAGCTGTGGTATAGGAGTCAAAGTTCCTTAAAATGTCATCTATGTAAATCAACCAAGGGAGGCCTTACACACTTTAAATTGGTCACATTGGTAATTAGTGCTTATGTGAAAGTTGTCAGCTCCATCAGATGACCCCCAAGAGAATATTTCAGGCTTTCGTGGCATTCAGGGGAAGCTAATGAACATACTTTTGTTTTCAGTAGAGTTTTTGTGAAATGCAATCTCAGGCCATTTGTTGCTTCTCTGTCAATCCCACTGGCATGCAGTTGGCTCTCAGGGATGTTCCTATTTCCAATGCTCACAGACTTTAGCCTCCCAGGAAATTCGGGTATGGTGAGGGTCATATGTGTGGCATTACAAGTCACAGAAAGATCTATAAGGGATCACGGAGAGAATACTTATTACCATCCCTGGCTAAACCCCCAAAACAATGTTTCCCACCACTGAAGCTGTAGCTTTCTAGGACCTCACCTGATGCACACACAGCTTGTGATGAGAAGGTGATCTTCTGCCCAGGAGATGCAAATGAAAACTTCAGGAGCACCATGTACAGATGACTGTTACCTTGCTGGGGTCGGGGTGGATCAGTGTTTAAGACATTAGTTTACATAAACCTCTAACCAATAAGAATCATCAGGACATGCGTATGCACAAGCACTGGAACTGCTTTGGCATAAATGGAATCTAAGTTTTTTGTCCAGTTATTGTTAGGGTGCTCTGGTCCTAATCTTGTCTTCTGTAATGCCTGGAAAATTAGTGCTGTCCGTGGGTATGAGCCATAGCTGATCATTTCTAGAGAGACCGGAGCAAGAACTGACCTTAATCTATACTAATTTATATTTGTATTAATTTTGTACTATTGGTCAGAACATGCACAGAACCCAGCAATCCAGTTATGCTCAATGTGTGCCAGGACCTGTCCCAAGTACAGTCATGCATGACTTAACAATGAGTATACGAGTTAGATAATCGTCATTATGCATAGAGGATACTCACAAATCTTGATGGTTTTGCTATTATCCACCTAATATTTGATTGTATGTGCAATACTTTTATATAAAAAGCAGTACAGGTTTACATGGCATCACCACAAACATAGGTAATGTATTACATTATGTTACTATGGCTATCAGAATTAGGCAAGCTTCATTACAGTCTTATGGAGCCACTGTCGCATGGTCCTAAACATTATGCAAAACATAACTACACTTTAACTCATTAGTATCTCACAGTTGGCTTGGCAGACAAAGTATAGGACAATGTCCCCCAATCAGAACACCTTAATTCCTAAGACTTGTAGGAATACCCTTGTAATACATTATACTTTGAAGTCTACTAAAGGAGGGAATAGCTTATAGCAAGGCCTGTGTCTCTTTTCTTCATCATTCCATTCCTATCATCCAGTGATGTGCTTAGCATCAAAATTTATAGTTTTTTGAGACAGTCTCATTATGTGGTTCAGGCTGGCCTCAGAATCACAAGTCTGTCTCAACTCGGGTGCTGCAATTACATGCGTAGGCCACTATTCCCAGCTAAAATACTCATTTAATTGGCAATGCAACCAATTTATTTGAAGACATGATTGAGATCATGCTTAGGTTTAAGAATACTGGCCTAGGGACTGGAGAGATGGCTCAGAAATTAGAAACACTTACTGCTCTTCCAGCGGACCCAGATTCAGCTCCCAGTATGCCATCAGGTGGTTCCCAACCACCTGTAACTCCAGATCCAGGAGCTCTGATACCCTCTGACCTCCACAGACACCTTCATGCAGGTGGTCGACAAACTCAGGCAGGCACACAGATACAGTTTTTAAACAGGCACACACATAAGAAAAAATAAATCTTAAAGAATGCTGGCTTATTTCTTGATGGTGGTACAAAAGGTTTTCACACCTACCACATAGTGAGCTACTCCAGTAGCATTGAATGGCATGTGTAGGGTCATTTTCTGGCTGTCAATCAGAAGATTAAATCCTTGTCTTAAGGCATCCTTCAGGGATAGAATGTGGGGTCTTGTACCATCGCCAACCTCAACTGTCCATCCCATATCAGGGATGTTGTTCTAAAGTCAAAAACATGGAAGGGGAGAAACATCTCCAGGCTGTCCTCTAACCTCCACTTGTGTGCCATGGCACACTTGCACCCAAACACACCCCTTGACAATAAATTTAAAAAGCATTGTTTAAAAGACTCACTTAAGAGCAGAGACAGGAACAGGATGGTGGTCCCGGGCAGGCAGTATGGGCTTATTTTGCCAAAGAAAACAGCAGTTGCACCGTGTTTTGCAAAAACCATCAGTGTTTGGGAATGATTCTGATGAGGTATTTGGTGGGCTTTGGAGGCCAGTGGCCAAGATTACTTGTTGGGAACTAGGATTATCTAGAAGAATCTGAAGCCAGTGTGGAAATTCAGTTTTAGTGCTGGGATTTGAACCTAGGACCTCAAACATGGTCTCATCAATGGAGTTCCCTCATGCAACAGAGGGCCAGGAACACAAAAGGTCACAAATGGCCAAAATGCAGAGAATAAGTCTGTAGATTGTGGGTCCTTGGACAGGACACCTATATCAAAATCTATCCACCCAGGACTCAGGGACCATTGCAGAAGAGAGGGCAGAAAGATTGTAAGAGCCAGGGAGGAGGTGCATGGCCATATGGAAATAGTCCTACAGGTGCCTAGGACCCTTTTCATATACAAACCTACAACAATGGTGTCAGCATATACATGATCCATGCAAACTTAAGCAGAAAAAAACCCAGCACAGAACTGTGGAAATGAACAGAAGACCCAATCTTAGTCAAAGAATTATTGGCAGCTGATTACTGCTGGGTGAGGAAGAGCTGATCTTAAAAGGAGGGACTATAGATAGGCTGACTAGATCCTGGGGATGACCTTGCACTGAGGGACATCTGGGGATACTAATTTTACATGATAGGCCTTAACACAATTGACAGAATGTATGAACTCCAGTGGGGGGCTATGGGAGGATGCCAAAGGGGAAGGAGGTATAAAGATGATTTTCTGTATGAAATACACAAAAATTCAATTAAAAATATATAAAAAGACTCACTTAAAACATTAGACTTAAATTCTCATGGTTATCAGATTACAGTTACTGTCAGCTTTAACATGAATTTAAATGTTAACATAGCTCATAATTTATGAACTGTACTCTTGGGGCTATAGAGATGGTTCAGTGGTTAAGAGCACTTGCTGCTCTTCCAGAGGACCCAAGTTTTGTTTCCAGCACCCAGTTTCAGGTGGCTTACAATCACCTATAACTCTGATTCCTGAGGATCCAACACTTTGGCCTCTGTGGGTACCTGCATTCATGAATCATATACTCTTGTGTGTGCAGACACACACAGACACACACAGACAGACACACAACTATTATACTCTTACCCGATCATCATCAGCAAATCTAGAGAAAACGTTTGGAAAGGAAAACTGGAAGGAAAATAAAAAGATTTAGGAGAACATTTGAGGTTCTGTCACCTACTATTATACAGAAAACACCCAAACTAATTGCAAAGTAATGCCATTCCTTCAAGAAGCCTTGCTGCCATCCTGCAGTAGGAAAAGCACAGGATTTCCCAAGTGCTGGGACTAAATGCATGTGTCACCACATCTGGCTGAGACACTGGGTTCTTAAATGTGAAGCCCCTTGCTTTATCCACAGAAACCAAGTACAATGTGAAGCCATGCAGTTCCATCACTGTTATAGTAAAGTTTGGGTGTTACTTTAGTGGTCCTTTGTCAACATGAGCCAAATTGGAATATAAACTTCACAAAAGCAATTGTCCGGTTTTGCTTATTTTTATTACATTTTAGCATTAGGAATAGGGTCTGGAACATGGCTTTTGGTCAATCATAGTTGTTAGTCTGACTTCAGATATTTGAACCTTTTCTGTTGCTAGGCATGGTGTGTTAAATATTACATATACTCAGTCAGTTCTTAGAGCCGCACTATCAAGTGAATGCTGTTGTTCCTCCACTTTAGCCTTAGAAACAAAGCCTCAATGTGGTTGAGAAATTGCATCATGGACCCATAGCAAATATACTAAACACAGAATTAAAATCCATAGTTTCTGGGCCCAGCTCTGTCCCCAGCCCCATTCTCTTTCCTCTGCAGTAGCCATGGAGAGGCAGTCAGCCCACTTCACTCACAGACATGAAGTCCTTCATGCAGGTCACGGCTCCTGAAAGCTCATGGGTCTCTTCTACTTGCATAGCTGGACAGAAGAACTGATGCATACTATCTTCATGTCCAACATCAGTACTGTTGTCCTTGACTCTGATGTTCACCTGGTACCCACCTATCTGTGTGAACGTAGTAAGAATAAGTGCTGGTTTCTCAGTGGGAAAGGCGATTCTAGCTCTGAGCAGCTAAGTGGCAACATGCTTACACTGAGCAACACTACAAGAACCTGAAGGTACTACATTCCTATGCTAGGAGACTCTATAGGTAGCCCTTTGAGACATGATAGTGTAGACTCCCAGCTGGAAAAGAGAGCTCAAACACCAAAAAGTCTTTTCTATTACTTTAACTTTAAAAAATTTTTATTTTATATGTATGAGTGTATTGCCTACATGTGTGTAAGCACACTCATGTCAAGCAATGCCTGTGGAGGTCAGAAGAGGACACTGTATTCCCCTAGAGCCAGAGTTACAGCCATCATGTGAGAAACCGAACCTGGGTCCTCTGCAAGAGCAGCCAGTGCCCTTAACTGTGGAGCCATCTCTCCAGCCCCTATTATTACATTTTTATTACAGTCTATTACTTTACATATGGGAATTGTGGCCTTAGTTCAGGGGCCTCTACCCAAGTAATTCAGATAACCTACTCAACAGCTAAGTAGCAGCTGTTGTGCTTGGTGGAGCCATTTTTGATACCTCTGACCTCAGGGAACTCAGCCAATGACTGTCTTGCTTTAGACTAAATTTTCTGCTATATGTTAGATAGTAATCATCTTATACTTTGTGGACAATATGTAATCCATGTCATTTTAACTTTGAAAACCATTTCTACTTGGATCATTACATAAAGGCCGTGAGACTAGATTCAGCCATTCACAGGTTCTTTAGCAGACCTTAGGTCCAAGGGAACACAACTGTTTAAGCTTCTTTGAGGTTGGGAAGCTTGTATTTATGAAAGGAGGACATGCAGTTCAGAGGGAGATGTGATTGGGATTCTTGGAGGGAGTCAAGGAAGAATGAAAGGTAGACATGATAAAGATACATTGTATACGCGTATGAAATTTTCAAAGAATAAAAAAGTTTAAATCAGTACAGGTTTTCACAAAAGTTATGCAACTACTTCACTGAGCCATCAGAGAGTGTCTTAGTGGACTAGATGACTGTTCACAAAGCAGTTTACGAATGCATCAACATAACTCTTATGCTCCAGCATCAGGGCCAGATGTGACCTGTTAAACATGCAATTTCCCAGCACTCACTCCACACCTACATCAACTAAAGACAGTTAATTTCATACATTCCAGATCCCCCAGGTGATTCTTTGCATACCAAAGCTTCAGAACTTTTCCTATGTGACAGGTTTTTGGGGTTTTTTTGTTTTTTTAAACCACCCTTAACAGCTCTGACTGGGCAATCCAGTTGCTTGGCAATACAGAACCCTTTATTGCTTAGCGACTGTTCGTTTTTGAACACTGTTCTTAGGCTAAGTTCTCTATTTGCTAGCACCAAAATAGCCTTCTATCTCACACAAGAGTCAGATAAAAATAGCTCCATGCCTAAGCATTTGCTTTGTTTAGGTCACGTGCTCTGTGTTCATCTGTATAGTACCATTAATTGTTAATTCCCTGTGGCGGTGATAGCATCTTCCCCATTTTCTAATAGTCAAATGGAGGCTAGAGGGGTTTGGTGAGAAAAGGTCAAACCAAGGGCTCAAGCACAGGGCTTCTCAATACTGACATTTCAGACCGGTTCACCTGCTATGTGGTACTCACCTGGGCACTATAGGCTTTCTGACAATATCCTGGGGCTTGTACCCACTTGATACCAATAGTAGACCCCATCCAACCTCGAAAACGTCTCTAGGCATTATGGAGTATCCTTTGGGTACATTAGAAACAAAACATGCCGAGAGGACTACTGCTCTATTCCAAAGCCTAACTCCTTAGACACCAAGTTGAGTACTAGTAACACAACGCTCTGCAAAAGGACTTACCAGTCTCTTGGTACAGGTCTCATAGGGGAACTTCAGGATGAGCTTTTCTGTGTCCAGGGCATAAGTACAGTTCAGCATTTCAATACCAAACGCATCTATAGAAACCAGAGGTTAAACAGGAGATGGGCAAGAAGTGCACTCCAGTGGAAGAGCAGGATGAGCACAGAGCCAGGACCTCTTATCCACACTGAAGGCATTTGAATTACTTTTGACCCAACTGGGTGTGGTGACAAACTCTGGGATGTTGTGACTTACATCTAGTGGATTCTGATATAAGGCATACTAGGAAAGGCAGATCTTTCTTTCCCTCTGAGTGGAATGGTGCATATCAAGGACCCTTATGGCATCAGGGGAGACGGATGCCAGTAGCACCAAGGTTTGGGCTTTGTGTATCCAAATGGTGTTTGGCCCTGCTTTGTACTAATTGGAATTAAGATGAAATAGTGCACGTTACCTACCCACAACAAATGGATGCCATTTCTCTGTGTCATTATTGCTTGAAAACTTGACTGTTACTTCCTTTTCATCACAGGTGACAGTGCCTGGAGAACCAATGAAGTATTTGGGAGCCTTCTAACAGAACTGTTTGGAGAGACCCTCCCCAATAGCATCAAAGAATGCTGCCAGTTGAGAAAGGGAGATTTCTTACCCACAGAGAGCTCGCAAATTAAGAAAGACATATACAGCACAGCATGCCAAGAACTGTAAGGAAGTATCAGATAAACACCTTGGCCTCCAAAGATTAAACCCAGATTAGTATTAACAAGCAAGTTCACGGAGGTCAGGTCAGAACCCTCACGGAGGTCAGGTCAGAACCTGGACAATGGAGAATTGAGGTGGGGATGTTAGGTTTGAAGACCCAAAGCTTTGTCTACATGTTTTCCAAATTAAAGCTTTAAGAAGAAAACCCTGGGCTGGAGACGTAGCTCAGTGGTTAAGAGCACTGGCTGCTCTTGCAGAGCTCCTGGGTTTGATTCTCAGCACCCACATGGCGGCTAACCACTATCCATACCTCCTGTTCCAGGGGATCCAACACCATCCTCCGACCTCTTTGGGCATTACATGACAGGGGTGCACTTACATGCAGGCAATACATTCATACACACAAATTGAATATTTTTAAAAAATAAATACTAGGGACTGGAGAGATGGCTCGGCAGTTAAGAGCACTGACTGCTCTTGCAGAGGACCTGGATTTGATTCCCAGCACCCACATGGCGGATATGAACTGTCCTTAACTCCAGTTCCAGGGGAATCCGAAGCCCTCTTCTGACCTCCACGGCATTGCACAACACAGGTGTACTCACATGCAGGCAACACACACACACACACACACACACACACACACACACAGAAAATACTAAGTTTTTGTTTGTTTGTTTGTTTTTAAATCCTGGTTAAGCTTCAGGAAAGATTTCTTGAACCAAATTCTGCCCCTGATCTGCCTTTCTGCATCCTCTAGCTCAGTGGAGAGTCTCGAGAGTGCTTCCTTTCTCTTAGAAGAACTCTGACTGTGCCTGTTACATTGATGCTTTAAGCATGAGATGTAGATGAAGACTATAGATAGCTCCTAGAGATGGGGGCTCAGTGTTATGGTTTGTGCTGGGGATGCCAAAAAACATGAGGTAGGGAGGCCCTGGAAAGGAGCACAGAAATTCTTTGAATGCTTTAATTTAGCTGACATAGCAAGCCCACAGAGAAGCAGGAGAAACTTTTAATGATTTGACCAAAATGAAGACAGTGACGGGGCTACAGAGATGACTCAGTGGTTAAGATCACTGGCTGCTCTTGTAGAGGACCCAGGTTCGAGTCCCAGCACCCACATGGCAGCTAACAACTGTCTGTAACTCCATTTCCAGGGGATCCAATGCCCTCTTCTGACCTCTGTGGGCATTGCATGACATGGGCACACATTCAGGCAATACACTCGTACACATAAAAAATAGTAATAATAAAAGACAACGAAGTTGGGGATGATGGAGACATGCACCTGTAATCTCACACTAGGGAGGCCGAGGCAGGTGGATTGGCATTGAGGCCAGACTGGCTACATAACAAGACCCTGTTCAGAGGGATAAAGAAAAGAGGAGGAAAGATAGGAGGAGAGAGTAGAGAGACATTCCATCTGCAACCTGTTCTCTTTGCTAAAAGGTTTTCTCACCTCAGAGACATACCTGGGAAGGCAGGATTCACCAGCTGAGGAAGACTCACTGAGTTCACTGAAGTCACCAGGGTAAAGAAGAGAGAAAGCAGCCTGCAGGTGCTGAAGAGAAGAGTTAAGAATGAACTGGAAGTAAATAAGGACACTGTACTCCCTACCCTCGTTCCCAGAGTGCCTCACCTCCAGCCCATACTGAAGCAGCTTGTGCGACTCCCAGACGCTTCCGGCTCCTTGCAAGCCATCTCAGGAGAGACCACCACAGCCTCCAGGCAGAGGCTGAGCTGCTCTGCACTGTTATAGCAGCAACTGGGATGTGACCCCGCCTTCTCACCATGGGAGGCACCTGGATCTTCACCAGCCCTGCTCTCCAAGCCCAGCTGAGAGTGAGGCAGCTGAGAGGGAGGGATTGGGAAAGGAAGTGGCATCTGCCCTTCTTGACACTTGCCTTGCATATTCTGCCAGCAACTCTTGAGGGTCAGGAGTTAAACCAGAGTTCTCTGAAATTACCCCCAGGTGAGTGAATTCCCCATAGTTTTGGGAAAAGTTCAGATTTGGGGGGCAAAATATTTACAACTCCAATGTAGTGAGGTAGGGTGGAGGGCTTCATTAAGGCAAGAACAAATCTTGTTCATACTGATAAACCTTTGTTACAGGTACTGGGTGGGAGAGAGTTAAAAGAAAGAATGAATTTAAGCAAATAAGACTATTGACTTCCTTATCCTAGCTCTCAGAATGCCTCTAGTCTTCTGAATATTGTAGAAGTCGGAGTCACTCCAATATTATTTATGAGGTATTCTTAAAAACGTGAATTAAAAAAAACATATATGGGTTTGCCGCCACATATAAAAGTTTACGCTTATTGCAAAAAAAAAAAAAAAAGTAGACAATTAGAAGAAGCTGGATGTGGTGGTATACTACTGTAGTCCCAGTACCCTGGGGCTGAGGCAGGAGGCTCTCAAGTTTAAGGTCAACCTGGGCTATGCACTGAAATCCTATCTCAAAAAATAACCCTCCCTGAAAAAGAGGTGATTTATAATCTTGCTACTGATATTTACATATGCAACTTTACAGACTTTATCTATGAACATCACATAATGTAAATAAAAACAAGATCTGGAGGTAAAGTTTAAGTACTGTTTGTTTGTAATCTCTCATTACTGTTTATAAAATTTCTGAATGGCATATGAAAATCTCAGTAACCATTTTTTAGGGATGCATAGAAAGTAGGCCATGTTTAGAGAAACCAGTATTTAACTGTTCCTTATTGACATGTGTTAAGTGCTTTCCAGTTATTTAACATTTTAAATGATATGAAAAATACTCTTTTCTTGTTTTTTGGGGGACAGGGTCTTACTACGTAGCCCAGGCTAATGTTGACCTCAGATCCTCTGCCTCTGCTTCCCAAGTAGTGTGATTATAGGCATATGCCATCACACCTGATTAACATGATGAACGTTTTTATGCATTTCCCTGATTAACCCTTAGCATAAAATCCTGAAAGTATGGCTCCTGTGTCAAGGGGTATAGTGATTCTAAATAAGAATGGAATATCATGTAATGGTTAGGAGTTTACAGGTGAGGAAACTGAGGCTGAACAACTTGCCCAAGCTTTGATGGTTGAGTGTCAGGTCCGTCTTGAGAGCTCAGCTTTCCTGAGACAGGCCGATGGATCTTTACAGCATCTCTTATTGCTCTTTGAGATATCTAGATGTCTGTGGCTCATGTTCTATAACAGGTGCAAACTCTGGGTAAGTCATAGGCTGGCATTTGTAATTACTGGTTTCTGTGTTGCCTTCCTGCTGTGGTTTGAGGTAATCTCTACTCTGTTACAGCCACCTGAAGTAACACTGTAGGTTATAATCATGTTGCCCATGATCCAAAGGACCACATAGGCTTCTCATTGATATTACAGGTTCTAGGGTCCCACCCAACAGACACTGAATCAGGCCCTGCTGGGTGGAGGTTAGGCAGTGTATGTGGGCCAAGTGACACAGGTGCTTTTTAGAAACCCAGGAAAATACCTGAGGGAGGTAAGTGAAGAAATGTATAGTTGCCTGTGGTTGACCTCTTTGTGGTGATGAATTGCGTACAGGAAGTGCCAGTGGAACACGTGAGAGGGAGGAAAAGGCAGGTGAGCAGGGCTAGGGGGGATGGAGATGGGGAAAGGATTTTGTTTAAGGGCAGAAGCCTGAGGGCGATAGCTGCTTATTCTGAGTGTGTTTTACAAAAATTGGCACCTTCTCCCCAAATGTTGAAGGTAATTTGTTCCCATGAGGATTAAGAGGTCACAAGAGGGTGTCACAGGAAGGAGCCTGTACCTGAGACTCAGAGGTCTGTAAAGAAGCCAGTCTAGAGGTGAAGGGTCAGTGTCCTACCACCCCAGGCTGCACTCTGTTCTCCAGAGTAGGAAGTTGTGGCCTTAGGAAGAAACCAAACCTGGGAACTTCTAGAAGACTGAAGCACTCTACAGAAGCCCCGAGAAACGGTCCACTATGGAGCTGGTGGGTGTACCAGAGAGTAACTTCATCTGCCTCACCTGATCCAGACTGGTGCTGTGCCTACATGGGACAGCTATGAACAGTGGCTTTGTGCCTTGGGAATCATTGTCTGGGATTTTCCTCTAGAAAAACCTTGCATCCACTAACAACAGTGCACACATGTTTGGTGCAGCAAGATTTGAAAGTGAGGAAATGACTGCACTGTACGATGATGTATCAGTCAGTATTCGTAGGAAAACTGATACATTCTTAATATTTCACACAGCAGTGGGATATCTTTAAAATGAATACTCTCACAATGGGACTATTTAAACTTGCTAATTGATGGCCACAGTCTTGTTTTCTTCCCTAAATGTCCCTGTTTCCATGTGAGTATTATGAAGGCCCCTCTTTGCTTGTAATCACAAGGTAGTTCTGAGGAACGTTTAGGTTGTTCTTATGCATAACAGAATGTCTTAAACACCCAAAAGGAAAGTATAACCAAAGATTAAAGGGGCCAATATAATTTATTAAGATTCCATATGTATAGCTAAAGACTACATAACAAGCAACAATGCCAGATAGGAAATACCTTCTTTTGAGTTGTTGGCCAGAGTGGCCAAAAGGGACTCCCAGATAGTAACCCAGCATAGAACTGGGAAAATGAACAGCAGACCCCAATCTTATCTAAAGGAATATTGACAACTGATTGCTGCTAGATGAGGAACAGCTGACCTTCCTAAAACAAAGACCTCTAGATAGGCTGACTAGATTCACCAGATGGACAAGTAGAA